ATCTATCCGTTTAAATACCAAGAAGAGTGTGCGTTCCTTTGGGAGATCGTATCATAAGAGATAAAGACAATAAAAATCTAAAAACTAATCTATGATTAATCTTTAATTTGATCATTAGGCGTTAGCCCACATCAAACAAATTAGAAATTTCGTAACCAATTTGGTCTAATTTTTTTTTTGGTTTGGTTCTGCTTGGAATTTTGAATCGATAAAGAAAGTGAGGGTCCAACATATTATCATAATGAAAGATAAAGGTTTAATCTGTAAATTTTCAAACGGAATCATATAAACAAATTAAAGTTTTACGCACAAAACGCGTCGTTACGATAGAGACGAAGAACATATCCCAATTCCATTTCGTCAAAGTTGATCCGGATCCGGACCCTCCTAGTTCGATCTTCATCTTCCCGACGGAGTAACCCAATTCCGGTGAGTTTCGCGGCAAGCACGCTCTTCTTCATAGTTGTATCAGCTTTTGAGTTGTTCGAATTGGTTGATTTTGCGTGGGAATTTCGTTCTAGATCTTCTTTGCCTAGTCTTGAATCTTGATTGATCTTAGTTAGAATTTGTTTTGATCATGCTTTTTAGTTAGGAATGCGAATTTATAGTGCTTAAAGGCGATTTTTATGGGCTAATGTGCGATTTTGAGTTTCAGTTTCAGGATTTTCTCTGTTTCTTGAATTCTGCTTAATGATAAATCTGTGTTGTGATTATGAAGGGGTCTAGGGTTTTCTGATTAGTAATGGCATCGAGGCGGAATGTACGGTATGCTCAGCTTCCAGGAGATGAAGATGATGAAGATTATGGAAATGGTGGTGGGAGGATAAATTTCGATCCCCGATTCGATTATACGCCGAAAGCATTTGATAGAGTACCATGGAAATCCATAGCACTAGCTGTGTTTCTTCTGTTCCTTGGTTGCTTGCTTCTCCTTTTAACGGTTTTCATCTTCACTGGTCACATGGAAGGAGATAGCTCTCAAGGTTATGCCCTTCTCGTCCTTGGGATCCTTACTTTCCTCCCTGGTAAGACTCGGAGTTCTTAGTCTCTTTGTTACACTTATTGAAATTCCTCATGTCCCTCGATATGTATATGCATGTTGTTTGATTCAGAAGCACTCATGGAATTCTGTTGTTTAATGTGGAGATTTAGTTAGTTGGATCGATGAGACGCATACTGTGTTCTTTGTCTAGCCATTGATGCGTTTGAGTTCCTCCAGTTTTCTTGAAAGAACAGTTATGACATGACGCTGTTCTGAGTGCATGATGTTTGATTTGAAAACCCTTGTGACATATGTTGTTTGATGTAGAAATTGAGTGAGTTCGATCAAGTAGACACAGATTGTGTTATTTGTCTGTTGAAATGATGTTCTTTTTACCCATTAATGCTCTCTGAGTTAAACTGGACGTAACAGTGATTTTCATGGTCCTGACACATCTCACAATTATGACGCAGGATTCTACGAGACCCGGATTGCTTACTATTCATGGAGAGGAGCTGAAGGGTACCGTTTCGCAGCCATTCCCTCCTACTGAGTAGGTGGAGAAGTAAAGAATCTCTGTGCATAGAAAAGGTTTTTTTGTTTGTTTGTTGAGGAAGAGTCTTAGAAGAGAATTGTAATCCAAAAGTAGTAGACTTGAGCTGTTTCATGAATCACCTTGATTCTCTTCCTACTCTGTAGAATCTCCTCAAAGATATATACATTAAGATCCACAAATTTGTGTCTCGTTCGTTATCAAAATATGTTTGTGCCTTTTTGGACTTTGGGGTTTTTTCGACAAAGAAGACAAAAAAAGAGAGGTCGAGTTCATAAACAAAGCCATTTGTTTATTTATGTTTACAGCACAACTCCATACATTTATAACTAGACGGAAAAGACTCACGAAGGAATGAAAAGATAGAACCAAGCTACAAACGTGAAAAAATAAATAGTTTTATGCTCCTATGGTCCTTTTTTTTTTTTTATTTTAAGAAAAGCAGCACGAAAATTATTACAATGTGGATTCAAAATAAGAAAAAAGAAAACAAAAACCAAAATGAGTGAATGGATCTAGAGCACTAGAAAAAGTAAACCAATC